GATGACTTGGGATCGCCCAGAAATCGCAGATACAATGAATAAACCTCGCGTTTTCGTGACAACGCACGGCAGTAAACTTTCTCGTTTTATCTCGAGCTGTGTAAAGGTTGCGTGGACACGGATTAATATCGTGTTTTGAAAGCTTCTCGGCATAGACTAGACTTTGTAGAAGGTGCACTAGGATGTATATAATATGTGAGTAATATAAAATAATAATAAATAAATATTTAGTACACAATTTTACACAACGTTCTCTAGTCCCAAACTAATCAACGATTGTACTATAGGTACTTGATCAGAAGTGCATAATTATTATACCCAGAAGTCGGAAAAACACTATGTTCATCACACAATATTTTTCCGTAGTAGGGATCGAACCCACGCCCTCTGGCGTAAGAGGCGGGTTCATTACCCACTGGCCAATCAGGTCCATTTTAAGACCAGTAATAAATTGCACAAAAAAAGTTATGATTAAGTTATTGGAGATAACTTTTATACTGTGGTAAAGCATTGTAGCGGCTTCTACTGATGCGTGAATAGCAGGTCAAGAGAAGAACTGCGATCTCACAAAAGACCAGCGTGAAACGGAATTGTAATCCTTTTTGCACTACATATGGTGGGTGAGGTAATCGATACCCTTTCTTTTGATGATGCATAAAAAAGGAATGAATACTATAAGGATTAATGCACATGCTAAATGTTAAGGTTATGGAAATGTATTTGTTTGTAAATATTTTTTATTTTCAATCATCATTCGAGTTTGAACGCTATAAAAATAAACCAGGCCGTGTTACGCATGAGCTTTGAACTTTATCTATTGTACGCAGCTGTGGGAGAGACTATAACACATTAAATCGAACTGATTTAAGATTTGTTCATCGCAGAGGCAAGGTATCCCTTTCAAAGACATATATTAACAACGATTCTAATCGCCATGTCTATTATCTTCGACAAAGGGCCGCGAATAAAACGGAATCAAAGTCGACCGTCGCTTCCGCTTAGCGTATAGTCTGTGGCGCGGAAAAAAATGATTCACAATGCCGCTCATAAAAAACGGATCGCCTCCCAGTTGACATGGAGCGATAAATGCCAAAAAGTCGTAAATTACCGATGCAATATCTCCCGAGGAGCGACGGCCAAACGCGCAATATGCAATTGCGTTAACACCGGCGTTTGTATGCGTCGTAAAGCAGTATTTTCGGAGCTTCCCTTCCCTTCGACGCCTAATTCCTCGAACGCCGCGTTCGGAGATCGACTGAGGTGCGTTTTTAACGGGATCCCTTATGATATACGGCTCTTTAACGATCCCAAAGTGTCTCCATATGGTCCGGCAGTCGAATTGATTTCACGCGAGCTCCAGTTCATTGTCATTTTCTGATTGTAAAAGCCGTAAGGACAATTAAACGCCTTTGTTACTTTCAGCAAATACGCTTCAATCGGCAAGGTCGTTAAAAAGTTTCTTTGTCATCACTTTTCAGTGTTTCCTGAAAACGAGTTTGGAGTGTTTTCGGTTTTTTTCAAACGAATACAGAAATAATGGATAAGATTATTATTTCAATCATTCACCGTGAGGTCTATTAAAACAAAATATAAATTGTTATATGACATTTAGATGTATTTTCCTTTAATGTATTTATTTGTGAACTTATAAATATTTCCTATAAGGTTAACTAAGTTAACTAAGTTAACCTTATAGGAAATATTTGTTTATCTAAATTATTTTCAGCTATCTATTTCCTTTTTGGCCTGAAAATTACAACACACAGCACAAAAAAAAACACTCAAAACAAAACACGAATACACACAAAATCCACATTTATAAGTTCACAAATAAATACATTAAAGGAAAATACATCTAAATGTCATATAACAATTTATATAAGGTTAACTAAGTTAACCTTATAAGAAATATTAACTTAGATCCTTGTTCTTAACTTATTTTTAATAACGAGGATCTTTTAATATGATTACTTTAAAAGTTTGATTTTTATTTCATATTATTTATCAAACTATATCTCATGATTTCATAAAATTTTAATCTTTGCAAATCGTTATAGAATTATAAATACCTCTTTTATATAAAGAGTTGATGTAGTTTCTGAGATAAAATTGACCTATAATGCTCCGCTTTATACTATTTCTAACCAAAACAACATTTCGATCATTTCTCCTGCTGCGAAGGAAAGAGAAACCAACAAACACGTTCGCGTCTAATATAGGGTTGTAATAGCCTCGAAACACGCATAGACTACTAGCGGTATAGGTAGACGATGGCACGTGTCTATGATATAATAACTTATTCAGTTAATACTTGTATAACTCGAGCGCCCGCTCATCTTTTAACAACCTTAATACAACTGTCGTGTTTATGTTACATTTCTTATAAAGTTACGGGCGTACGGCGTCGAATGTAAGCGACGCGATCGCGCCCGCCGAACGAATTGGGACCTTATACCGAAGGAATAAGGGCGGTAAACGCACGGCGGTGCAGAACTGCACGAGGTCACGGAGCGTTCCGCCACGGTCGTTGTACAAGAAAAATAATCGCAGTACCACAACAAACGCTAAAACTGCAGACCGAGCGTTCTACACTCGAATAGCAGGCCGCTTAAGCGGAGCTCTAACTGAGAGTCAACCGACATTAATCTGTGCGAGAAGAAAAAATGCGTAAGAAAGCGTCTGACTAACATTTGTGTCTCTTGAGATGCTTGCATTTCGGAGGCGTGGTGAAATGTAAATTTTGTTACTTAACTCACCTCCTATCTGTATCCTATAAAAGTATATACGATTTCGCGAGTTTTTACCCACCCAGAGCGTGGTGAAAGGCGACGAAATTTTGAACGCATCGATCTGGTTATTGGTCACTCGTACTTTTAAAATATGTAGAACATTTTATTGAACTGAACAAGTTTCACAAAAAACTACAATAATCCCCCCTTATATGGACTAAAATCAAGCCTGGATAACTTTCTACTAAGTCCTCATAAAATTGCAACAAACGTTTCGGGAATAAGCTCAAAGTAATGAACAAACAAAAAGATAAAAACGTGTATTTGTTTTTTTGTTAACTTTCAAATATCCATATGAGTATGGAAACTACAAGCGAAAATAAATGACGAACGGTTTATTAAAATAAAACAGACTGACAAGAGTTCTTCTTACAAGGGTTGCTTTTTTACCTTTTATGGTACGGAACCCTAAAAATAATATAAATACTAGACTTAGTAGAACCTTCTTAGGTTCACCTAAGCCTTATAAAACATTATTTATTTGACAAGATTATTTTTAACTTAATTTAAAAATGTTTCTTTAAAGTATTATTTAATTTAAAAAATAGACAAAAACATACATCTTTTTACACACATATCCAAATATATTTCAGAGAAATACATTTATGATCAAAGAGTTTTAAAATTGCCTTATTTTTATGTCATTACCATTTTAACCACCAAAATAAATTACCTGTATTGAATCATTGTAAAACCGGTCATGTATATTCCAACATATTTATAATGAAAAACATATTTATAATGAAATAAAATTATTCCACTTTTGTAACAATATTTTTGGCATATCTTTTGATATATAACTATAACTGCATAAATTTTTGGCTTGCAAATAAAAACCTCATTTATTCGTCTACATATTCACTTCTCAAATTTTACCGACGTCCGCAGTCACCGTGGCCGCATTCGATATGCAAATAATCCTGACTTCGCAGTTTATTTGTTATAGAAGTGTTTGTGTCAACACAAAGAATGTTAAGCTCGTGGAAACAGAAAGGACAATAACTTTAAATGATATCCCGCAAATACGTATCATTTATTCGCCCTCTTGATAGCGTTGGAGGTTAGAAACGGCAGGTTTACGTTACTGCTAGACGTTCCCAGGTTCGAATTATAACGGGATTAGTTAATGTGAATTCATGATCCATGGTAGGGCTTGGTTTTGCGTAAATGCTGAGAAGCCACTTTATTCATAGTAAGCGTTCGCGTGGCTTCGGAATGAACTATGAAATAATGTGCCTGAATCCTATTCGAACATTTGCTGATAACATGGGCTCTATAAAATCACAAAAACAAGTAATTTAAGGCGAATTACATTAAAGGTAATTAATGACAATTACATAATTTTGATAGTGTTTATATTCGAACACCTATAGGTAAGGAACTGCTTATACGATTGAGACCAGAGATAACATTTTTCAATCGAACGATAATTTTATTTCTGTATGCTAGAAGATGGCAAGCGAGCGGGCTATTCTCCAGTCGTTAGCTGATGACCATCACCTATGGACGACAGTAATGCATACTTGCAGACGCTTCGCCATCCTGTAAAAGAAGAGGCTCCGGTTAACCTACTCACCTGACTAAATGCGGCAGTAGTGTCAAGCTATAGCACTCACCCAGATAAACTTTGTCTAATGAAAAAGGAGAAGATTTTTACACTACTACTTTACACTACTTTATTCACAGCAGCAGTTAACTTCTCTAATCTTTATAAAGATTTCTTTAGGGAGGACAGACATATGCCCACGCGCTTCAGGCTGGCATACATCTTGATTATTACATTTTAGCCAATTGCTTAGCGAATTTTGGAATGATATTCTCCAATTAAACTATGGTGTAAATATAATGTCTTAAGGACCTTACGATAATTAATTCGATTTTAAATCGCGATGATCACACCATATCTGATAGAGTTAGTAATGATGATAGTGTAGGACAACCCCTGCCGATGCAAGATCGTGCTTCGTGGCAGTTTGGGGAGGCCTATGTTCAGCAGTCGACTCTAACAGGCTGAAATGAAGGTGATGAGGACACCACAGAATCCATGGCGATCGGTAGCGGACTGAGACAGGGTGACATGATGACGATAACAGCACAGAATCCATGTTCAGTGCGCGGACTAAGATCTTCAACGTCCCAATTTCGAAAGCAGTTCGCACGGGCCGCCTTGAGCTTACTGTTTCCGTCTCGTTTACTCCTACATCCGTCCTACTCTCGATGATCCGTACGTGTTCGTTGCCGTTCGTTTGTCGCGTTATCAATGGACATGAGGGCCTGAAGTCCGCGCCGGTTGCGTGCCAGTGGCACGTTGGAGGTACGTGACCGCGGCCAGTTTGATTCCGCCAGGTGTCCCCTTATCGACCCGGCCGGGGTGATTCCGTGGTCGCAACTGAGAATGATTGGTTTTTCTACACGTGTTCAATTATATCAGTTCGATTTCGACCTTTAGACGTCTTTGTTTTACGAGCACGATAAATGCTACTGACAATATGTTTCGAAATTTCCTTATCCTAAGCGTTTTGGCGATATTATTGTACTGTAACGGCTGTAAATGGTATGGTGGGTGATTACACAGATAAATTTAAAGGGCTGGACAGCGAGGTTTGAAATTATACTTATGATGTGAGTTTTATTTCTAATATGAAATAGAATCCTTCTTAAAGAGATGTTTAAATTTTGAAAGGTTATGGTGTCACTTTAAAAAAGGAGTAATCAAAGAAGATAGTGGTTAATGGTTCTAATCTCTAGTTCGTAGTCTCTTAATCGAACTTTCACAACTACGAGACTCGAGGACTTACATTACACGTATCAAGAAGATTGTCGCCTGCATATTTCATACTTTAAAACACCTTTAATCAAGATAGAAACACATCATAATCCACCACATCGCCGCCCGACGATCGAACATTTGGACGCGACGCAAGTTAGCTAAGTGAATTAAGCACACAAACAGTAATGGATTATTCCGTCCCGAAGTCGATCCGGCGAGTTGCGCGCTCAGTTAAATCCCAATATTACTCTATGACTTGCAATAGGAGCCAAGGGCGAGCTCAGCTTATTCGCGCTAAATTATGCAGCAACTTTCCAAGTGGGAGTCGGGCAAAGTTGAAGTTCCCAGTTGCAGCGAAACTCGTGGACCGGCCGACGTCGATCCTATCGGTAGGTTACGTCCGTCTGTTTGTTCAGTTGTGCTCGACTATTAGGCTGTTACGCATGACTTCATATATGTGGTGCTGTTGCCACTGTACAGACGTGTTGGGGTCGATGATACGATTCCTACACGAGACAACTATTTGTGTGACCCACAGATTTGTTTCGGATCTGGGCGTTTGCCCAACGTGTGTTTGTAAAACGTCCTTGAAATACATAATAATGTTATCCCAGAGTCAGGGGACATTGATAAAAAAATAACTTAATGTAACTTCATATTTAGGCCACGCTAAAATTCAAATATTTATTTTCTAGAAATAGGTTTACACGGCTGTTCACAATATTGTATTATTATGTGGAAGGTAGCAAGCGAGCTGACGGTTCACCTGATGTTAAGTGATAACCACCGCCCATGGACATTTTGTAATAACCGTAGAGTTTCACATGCGACCTTTTAAAGTTTATTATACATTTAACAGATAATCTATTTGTAAAAGTTTCTTATAAATTCGTTTGCCTGGTGGTTAGGCAGTTTGCCTTCCGTTCAATCGGTACCGGTTCTAGCCTAGTACACGCTGTACGATTAATATTTCACTTGGTACAAACGAATATTAATGATGCCTAACAACATTTGTGTTAACCTTTGACTTTTATCAGGTACATTAGGGTTATGAAGAATAGATTTATATAGTCAGAAATAGCCCTGAGGCCAGGACGCCTGACTTGTTTTCTCAAGTTGGTAGGTTTTCATCTCGCTAGTTGATTGAGTTCCAAAAATCAGGAAAGATATCATTTTTTCTTGCTTAATTTACGGTCTTGATACATGTACCAGTTTTATTTATTTTGAATGGCCACTTCACCTCAATTAATAAAAATATCACAGCACCTACAGTTGTTTTTGAATTTATCATAAATGTTATGGCAATATTCTTTTTTATGAGAAGTTCCAAAATCGATCCGGTTCAAAAACCCGTGAACCAATAAAGGACATTAAATGTTTTCTTTTAATACTCTGAACTTCCAAAGGTAAGGCTTTTATCAATTACGGCTACATTGCCTCATTCTTCCATTAGACTGGTTACATCAAATATCTTTTTCAATTTCAAATGTATTAAAATGGATATATCGTACTGTCGTGATGACATTACGGTATAAGCTACAATTTTTTTATAGAAAAATTATGCCATTGGGTTGGTATAAGTTTTCTAAAAGAATTGTTCTACTTCATTTGATTAAATTTTCGTTTGAAGGTTGTTCCTTAAATCCCGACAAATCCTAAGAAGCATCGAAGCCCGCTGAAGAGTCTAAATTAATATTTCAAAGCTGCCTAAGTGAAGCCCCGCACAAAAGGCCTTCCGTCGTACCTTCAAAGTGGCAGTAGCGACGGCGATACATTCATTCGGGGCCCGATACGAATTAATTAAGGAAAGCTCACAAACTAATCAATTATTATTGTACGTACTATACAAATCAGCTATTGACATACCACGGGACTCCAAATACAATTGACCGGTTAGGGCTTGGTGCAAGTCAATAGATCAAGCGGAATGTCAGGAAAGACGTTTTATTTTTTGTGTTAATGTTTGTGCTGTGTGGGAAGGCAGGGCTGGTTTTTTGTTTATGACTCACTTTAAATCCCTTTGCGAGGCAGCTTCGCGCTCCAGGATAACCAGTGGGAAGACCATCGCTCAACAACTGTGTGAAAAGATTCACCCCTTATAACTATTTAATGACAGAATGGAACAGACTCAGCATTTCTGGGAACAATCTTAGGTTAGATCTTCTAGAAAAAGTTATACACTATATTATTTAGGGTTATGAACAGGAAAATTGGAACTTATTCTACAGACCTTTTTTGGAATAGTGGAAGAAGACACACAATATATGAAGCATGTTTTATGGTATTGGCTAAGTTTTTTACGTCAACGCTTCCAAGTTGTCAACTCTCCTTGAGAATGAACACATGGATCTAGAACAACTGTCTGTGGGCCACAAAAATGTGCTGTGTAGAAGTCGAATCCATAGAGGCTAAGCAACTGCACCGTTGATTTATCAAGTTAAAAAATATGGGAACAATCCTGAGAAAACATATCGTAACGGAGGCTCAAATAACCTACACATTACTGTGGAGGACCTTCCGTTGTGTTGGAACAATCTGCTCCATCTTGAAACGAATTAACCGAGCAGTACTGGTGGAAACACAGCTTTGTCGTACTGAATCAGAATCAGTCTTGTAATGAAAATCATTATGACGCAAATGTGTCGTAAATTAACTTTCTTATGAACCGAAAACTACTGACAGTCAGGCCTTTAATGCCGACGGCCACACGCGATCGCGTATGACAACATTTAAACATCGTAAAAGTCTGAAATAAGCGACGCTGACGGAAATATTACAGTTACTCTTCCTGAAAGTGGTTTCGTTAACAAAACATAAATGTCGAGGAAGTAAAAAAATGAATTTAATTCGGTGAGCAGATCGAATAAATCTATATATGTCCGTTCTTGCAACAAACTTGTTTATTTCATTTTCATTTGTATATATATATATATATATATATATATAGTTATTATATTTTATTGTTTCTATATTAGTTTCTTGTACAGCAAGTTTACTATTCGTTAATTATGTGTACGCCTGTTATTGATGTGTTCATATGTTAATTTAATTATGTGTACTTCTAACCTTTTATTGTACCTTGAACATGTTTTTGGTGTACCTTTTATAAATAAATAAATAAATAAATAAATAAATAAATAAATAATCAATGTTCTCCCAACAATGTTGTATGTGGTAGGGCCACGCAAAAGTCTTCGCTGTTGCACGAGTGGGCAAGTCCATTCGGGAAACTACCTAATAATATAATGAATAATACAATAATATAATAATATAATGAAAGAACAATATTTCTGGATACAAGAGAACCCATTGATGATCCGTAGTTTTAAACAAAAAAATGGAACGGTATCTTTATTACTTTGTTTTAAGACTGTTTAGTAATATATATTTTAATTTAGTAATATCTATATATAAATCATTCATGGGGCAAAGTGTGCGCATGTATAATAAAATCCCACAGTCGGTATTAAGTCTGCCACTAGATAAATTTAAACGCAAAATTAAAAGCGAACTAATGGCTAAGGCATATTATACCAATGCGGAATATCTTGACGACGCCAAGGTGTGGGGTTAATAATTATATTGTAAACTATTCGTTTTAAAAAAGAGCAACTGTTGAGTTTCTTGCCGGTTTCTTCTCAACAGAAACTGCTTTCCGAACCGGTGTTAACGTGGTATTAAATTTTACATTTGACATTTCATAAGAACGCGCAAGCGTCTATGTGAATAAATATATTTTTTATTTTGATTTTGATATATTTCGCATTTTATATAAAAGTGTATTATGTATAAGTATTTATACAATTAATTGTCAAAACGTTTAAAAACAGGAAAATAGCACTTGGGGAAGATATTATAGTTAGTATCTACAACGCTGAATATTTTTTTTAGTTCTGTATAGCATTAAGAATTTGTATAAATTATACGATTCTTGCTCTAAGGTCGCGACAGTCGATCCGCGGGTAAAAGTAAAAAAAACCGTACCTGAAATCTAACCATAAAATCCATTAAAGTGGTTAGTTACGGCCTAATGTGGATGGATGTAAGAAAAAATGTAATCTCTTTTAAATCGCTAAACACATCCAGTTGCCAATTAAATTTTACATAATATTATGGCCACAAAAAGTGTCCACAAGGTTGTCGGGAACAAATTAGAGACTGTCTCGACGAGATAACATCATTCGTAAGTCATGCGGCCAAAGATTTAACATTGTTCCGTGTCTATGCGCAATTGCGATGTGCGTTTTGCATGAGGAATTACTTCCTCGTCTATCTGAGAGAACTATTTTAGAAGTCTTACAAATTAGCTCGGGCCTAAAAGCGACGAAAAACCTCAAATAAAGATGTCGTTGCTGTTATAATATATATCACTTAAATAGCTGTTACTTATTATTGTTGTTATATGCATTTAGCGTTCAAAAATTTCAATTAGCACCTTCATAGATATAATTATTATATTTGATTTGGAAAGGAAATTCGACTCAGTTTTGAGTTGAATGTAATTTCTGGCGCCTTGATCTGAACTTCTGAGGTCATGTTGCCATCATGGTTTTTTAGGGTTCCGTACCCAAAGGCTAAAACCCGTCCGTCTGTCATCAGGCTGTATCTGATCATGAATCGTGTGTTAGATAATTGAAATTTTCACCGATAGTGTATTTCTGTTGCCGCTTCTAAAAAACAGAAAAAAAAAATCGAATGGACAACTGAAGATTTTTTTGCAGTTTTTATAATGATGGTACTGAAGCCTTGGTGTGCGAGTAAATAAAGAAATTATGATCATTTCAAAGCCTCTAAAAGAGATTTCCACTGTCTCAAGTTAACAACACTTTCGGTGTTTTCTCTTCATTTGCACTTTCAATACAGACGAAGGGTCTGTTAATTCGACGTTCAAAACCGCCCGTAACTGGGACCCCAGAACAGCTATTGTGCTCTATGCGACCTTAGTAACAATACGCTCAATGTAAATTAAGCCGGCGACGCCTATAGGCGATTTCTCGTCATGATAACGAATGCCACTATCAATTGCTCCAGATCCATTGACAATTGCTTTGTCTCCACCATTAGAGCTAAGCTTACAAAGCCAGTAATGGAATGGTAAGTGATCAGCTGACATCTCTCCGATGTGAGACAAATCATATTGCTTTTCATAATTTGGACAGAGCATCTGCTGTGATAAACGCAGAAATCAATGGTGTTCTTTATTAATTGAGATGGTGGATAGCACTCATGTTTCATAATTGCCATGGGCGTTTTCAACCCATGTTAGCTTGGAGGGGTGCCAATGTTTAAATATTTCAGGATATATTTTTACTCTAGATCATCTAGTCCCAAACTAAGCAAAGCTTGTACTATGGATGCTAGATAACTGATAAACATACATAATAGTCCTTTTCTTTTGTCGATAAATACATATTATAAATATTAAAACACCCAGACAGGAAAACACTATGTTCATAACACAATCTTTTTACAGTAATGGGGATCGAACCCACACCCTCTGGTGCAAAAGAAAGAAAAAATAATCTAAGAATTGTTTCCAGTCCCTCGGAACCTATTAACAAACATGTAAATATCCACATCCTTTTACATAAAAATACATTTATGTAAAAATATGACAAGAAAAACAGACATGGAGCAAACGAACAAATTGATCATTACTGTTACAAAATTGATGTTCTACAATTTAAATATTTCGTTCTGTTTAGCTTAAACAAGATTATCTTGTAATGTCGAGGAATTAAATACGTAACTATCACGCAGACACACTATAAGATTCGGAACAAATACTTGGAGACCGAACATTTCACCCGCTGCGCATAAAGCCATCCATAATCAATCTATTAGCGAATACGTTAGCATTTGACGAATTGTTCTCAAGAACTTCATATATTTCAGACAGGACATCGAAACATTTGGATAGGAAATCGCAGCAACAACGAACCTCACCACAGATTGTAAAGAGAAGCGGGTGCAATGGATTTCCACCATCGGCCCACAGCCCCCGCTCTGCTGGCGAAATGAATTTTCCATTTCTCTTTGCCCGTATTCCAAAACAATGGAGGGCCATTGTAGCGAGTTAGCAAACAAAAAACACCGGGCATGTTGCTCCTCTACCGTACTAATTGACTTCGTACAACAGCCGAAATGTACGCACGGGCTGAGCAACGCCAGGGCTTGTACCACCAGACGTCTAATAGCTCGAAAAATTTTAAAAAAGTTTCACCAGCGTTAACGGATAATTGGTGCTCTGATATACCTTTAAAATTCGCTTCATTATACATTCGAAATTAAATGTCCACGGTCTTTTGTTAGATTTTGGATCTTGTGACCGGTAAAAAGTTCGTCCAAAGCTATGACTTAATTTGTTGAGTCATAAAAAAAGAATTAACAGCCAGACGATCTGCATAGCCAGCACAAGATTCGTCTTATACTTATTATGGAGTAGTAAAGTAAGTAAATGCCCACTGCTGGGCAAAGGCCTTTTTTACAGAGGGTATTAGGACATAGACCACCACGCGACCCCGATGCGGAACGGCGAACTTCACATATCTTCGAAACTTTTTTTTGATATTATTTAGAAAATGCACAGGTTTCCTCACGGTGTTTTCCTGTGTTTGGAGTGCCTACTTTATCACCGTTGAGCGCTTGATCAGCACTTAAAATTGGCGCTGGCATCGGGGATCGAACTCAGGTTGGTCGAGAATGAAAGGTGAGCGCCCGGACACTGAGCTATCACGGCTATCACGGTTATCACGTATTTTGTAAATAAATATAAATAGAGTACTGATAGCCCAGTGAGCGGGCGCTTGCTTTAAATTCGATGTACAATCTGAGCAACCTAAGAGTGCTAATCCTGGTGCCGGCACCAATGAAATCGTTATTTAAAACTTTAAATGCTGCATAGCATGTTAAAAGGCGAAGGAAAATTGGACATAAAAATTTTTCGAAGTTGAGTGAAATCTGCCAATACGCGGTGGCCATTCTCTGGACTTATACAGGCTGTTACTATACTTTCATCATCATCTTCATTTCAGCTTGTTAGAGTCCACTGCTGAACATATGCTC